ACATCATTTACATTTCGGTGGCAGTCTTATCCTCGGAGCATTGGAAATGGAATTTCCCGGGTGGGGGCTTCAATCATTTCGGTCCTGGGAATCCCGACCTCAGGCACTCAGTTTGGTTTTCGACCAACTCCGTCGATTGCGTTCCGGGCAAACAACACTCGCAGATTTATGTGACCGCAAAACTTTGCTTCACGGCATAAATTAATGTTTAATTGATGAATTTATATGACGAGGGCAAGATGCTCCGGCTCACATTGGACGGCATTCCATCATGTGCTGACCAGCTGACCAGTGAAGCGGGCTTGTCTCATTTAAGCCTGTTGCGGTTGCTTTAAAGAAAATGTTCATGAAATGTGTTCAAAACTATAACCTGTAATAGAGCTCTTACTAAAATATAAAAAGTTAAAGACAGCTTAAATTAAATATTTTCCGACGTAAATCTTAAAGCAGGACTGGAAACATTATGAGTTTTATTTAAAATTCAAAAACGCATAAGCCGTTACAACATTTTGAATAAACTGCTTTATCGTTTGAGAAAGCAGTGCACTTGCAGTTTAGAAAGTCACCGCTAGGTGGGGAATCTTTCCGTGTGGCTATGTAATGTTTTCGTGTATGCTACATTAAATTAATAGCAAATCGTTATATAGTATCGTAGAGTAAATATACAGATCGATCACTAGCCGATCGATCTACCATTCGTCTGTCCGGATCAACGCTGAGATCTCGAGCTAGGCTATTAGATTTCGTGCAGTTCTGAGCTTCTTACCAGCGCAAGTTTTTCAGCAGAGTGAATCTAACCCCCCACTGTGCTCTACAGTTATGCTAGAAAAAATTTAACTGAATGTATTGTTCTCATCATACTATCGATTGACAAAAAAATTTGCAGCCTACTTAATACAAACGCCAAACCTGTGACCACAATTTTCATGCTAGATAAAAAATTAACTGAAATGTATTGTCTGTCATACTATCGATGATCCAAAAAATATGCCGCCTCTTTATATAGCTTAATCCATCTACCGGTAGGTGGCCATTTTATTCTTTGCTCATTTCATTTGTCTTTAGCTGAGTAGGGTATTGATAGTCGAGTATCGACTAAAGGACTATTTTGAGCTAGAATTGAGCCTCTGTAATATTGTCAACGGCGAAAAAGAGTTGAAGATACGAAAGGATATAAAAGGTTGGTGGGATTTAAATGAATATAATAAAAAGTACTATCTACCAAAAATATGAAAAAGAGACTCTGATCATGCGCGGATCCACCTGTGGATATAGGGGATAGGCCCACCCCATTCGGCTTAAAAGTATATTTAATATGTATATTTTCCGATTTTTTGATGTCCAATCTACAATTTTTTTTACCCCAACTACCAAACTCTGGATCCGCCTTTGCCTCCGATTAAGAATATAATGGTGTTTTGATCATTTTTCTTAATGGAATTATGATTTTTGTAAAAAATGTGATTATATGAAACATCCGAAGTCTAGTTTAAGTGGATTACATTTAATTCGAGTTGACTAGTGAATAAAGACTTCCGTACGAAAAAACGGACGGAAAATTTTATAAGTAGTTTTACCGGACAAGTCATGATTTATTCAGTTATTGAAACCCAGAGAAGGGTTGTCACCTTAGCTTAATTTTTTCAGAAAAATAATCGAAAAGTAGGCCTGACATAAGTTTCGTGGCGACCACTTGCAATTGAATTGCATTTGCTGAATTTTCATTAGCTGACTGATAGTAGCAAAAATGCCTCGTAGGCCTAACAGAGCTCAACAAAACATTATGTTGGTTTTTGTTCCGGTGTCCACGACCCTGGTATCGACATCGAGTGGAAGAAGCCGAAGAAATTCAAGAGCGCCTCCGAGGAGAAATCTTGGATGCAGCAGTCGCGCAAGGAGGCCAGGGAGATCAGGCTAGATCTGGAGAGTGGGCGCTTGAAGCCGAAGGACATGCCCGGTAGAATACTCGTTGAGCCGAATCCAAATCAAGTTCCATCAGACGAGGCCAAGAGGTTCCAGAAGGAATTGTTCAATCGCAAAGGTGCCCTCACTACAGAGCGAAATTTCGTCAATCTCTTCACAAAGCTGGCCAACAGTTTACAATTCTGGGATCCCGTCAAGGCCCTCAGGGTCCTGAACCAGATGAAGAAAATGAAACTGACCAAACTAATGCTCCTCCGCAATCCGGACTGCGTTACAAAGACTCGCGATCTTAGAGAATTTGGAGGAGAAGAGGAGTTTCAGGAGCACGACATGGTCATCCGCCAGAAATCAACTGAGCTTTACGCAAAATTTAAGAAAATTTGTAATTTAGAGTCGGACCACGACGACTCGTTTTGGGAGGACTTTTGCAAGCAGGTTGATGTCTTCAATGCCCTTACGAAAGATATGAAGAAGATATTTCGCACCACGTTGAGTGACCAGGGGTACAAGAGACTGCTAGACGCCGAGAAGGCTTCCGATTCCTCCATATCGGTTAATGCTCAGAATGGCGAATAAATCAATAAATATGGTATCTCCTTGATTCACAATTTGTTGGTATTGATTCCATTGCTAAACACAGTTTTTCATTAATGTGCGGAGCAACGAAATGGAAACAAGTTTGTTTTGTTACCCATCTGAAAAGATCCTTAAAGGTGAATCAATTTTGGAATTTTACTTGCACTTGGCTTCAGTTTATTTTCGTATAACTATATTTCGCAATTTGTTTGTTTCTATTTACAATAATTTAGTTAGTCCGAGTCGTTATACAGTCAGTTGGGTCGCTCCTTCACCACCACTTGCTGCTCTTGTCCTCCCACTTGCTGCCGGTGTCCTGTTTCACCTCAGCGTAGCTGGTGGCATGGCCATGTCCGTGTCCGTACTCCTGTCCATGTCCTGTCCGTGTCCGTGTCCGTGGCTGTGCTCGATGTGGTCGGCGTGTCCAACATGCTTCACGGTAGCCTGGAATCCGTGGTGGGAATCGGCGGTGTACTCCACGATCCTGGTGCGTCCATCGGCCTCCTTCATGGTGTATCCCCCCTTGACCTTGTCCCCGTCCCGGGTCTCCCACTGCTGCTTGATGTCTCCGGTCTTGGTGTCCTTCACTCCGTAGTCGAATTCGTACTTGGGGTGGTGCTTGGGCTCCTCGTGGTGGCTCCACTGGGAGTGGCTGTCGTGGGAAGCCACTGGTGCCCACTGCTGGTGATGATGGTCCTGAGTCGGCGCCCAAGAGTGAGCTTGGTGGTCCTGGTGGTGATCCTGCCACTTCTTGGGAGCCTCATGGTGCGTCTGGATGCTGTATCCCACTCCGTGTCCGTGATTGTATCCTCCGTGGGGGATATGACTGGCAGCAGCCACACCGAAAAGCGCGCAGCAGAGGATGGTTAGTTTATGGGCCATTTTCGTTTGTTACTGTTCGACTTGCTTGGCCTGAATTAGAATGAAAACTGTGATAATCAGTAGACTAAGCCCAATGCTTTTATACCTCAGCCCATTCTTCCGATCTCGAGGTTAATTGGCTCGAAAAAGAAAGAGACCGAAAAATAGGTAATAGGCAAGCCAAATGCTTCAAACTTTGGTAAACTTTTCATTTTTACCAATCGCAAAGTCAAATTAAATGTGTCTACAAAAACATAGGCATTAACAATACTAACAAATCATAATACATTTGCGTTAAGGTGGATTATGGGGGCTAGAAAAATTGCCTATCATCACAAGAATTTGTTAGTAAAATGTCAATAATTATGTAAAAAAGATGTAGGGGAGAGTGGAGTAAGGATATAAAGAAGAAGAAGATTATAAATAAAGTCATTCATGGTAGTGAACGGTATGAATGAATAACTTTTAAAGTCAATTGCAAAGCCTTCGAGAAATGTTGCAAAATGTCAAAATACTTTTTAAACTATCCTTTCCCCAGTGCTAGGGTAAAAATAGTTACAAATTTAATTCTGCTGTAAATGGAAAATATTTTTTTAACCTTTCTTAATGTTATAACATTGCGATAAAAAGCTCTTGACGCGGAGGAAAGCATTTATGATAATTTAATTTTTCTTATCTTATCTTCAGAATATCATTATCCCCTGAAAATTGGGCGGTTTCAACTTTTCTTTCTGAAAGTCCCCGACCGGTTTTTGGACCGCTTAGATTAGTATTACTACATTGTTTTACTGTCGTTGACAGCTCCAAGCAGTAATGCTGCCATTAAAACTATATAGATACTTGAACCAAATCCGTATTATCAAACATTACCTTCAACTATCCTTGTCCACAGGAAGTGTTTTGAGCTCTTGCAAAATATCACCAAGAATGAAGACCACAAAACAATTTAACAACAACAATTTAACAAAACAAAAAAATTAGTTACATTAAAAATCTCGGGATCGGCCAATGTGTCTCGGTCAGAAAAGAAATATTTTAGCAAATCTGACATTAACAGAAATTACTTCATAACTTCTTCAACTGATGGTGCTAGTGATCTAAGGATAATAAAACGGCGCGCATTTCAATCAAGCCGTTTAGCCGCTAGGGCCACAAACTATACTTGCCCCTCAACTATCCTGACCCCAATCTCCCCTACTATTGGTTTTTGATCAACAAAATGATGTTTTAGAAATAGGACACAGTTTTCCGATTCGGATCGATCTGACTTATAACAATACTACCTGCAATAGAAAAAACTTTTGGGATGGGATATCCTCAAAACTGAGAGACTAGTTCGCGTAGAAACAGACAGACGGACGGCCAAACGGATATGGCTATTCGACTCGAATAGTGATGCTGATCAAGAATATATATACTTTATGGGGTTGGATACTTCTGATTGAAATCATTATACCCTCTGCAAGGGTAAGAAAACAAAGAAGCTTGAGTTTTCGTTTTATTATTTTCCCATTCATTTTTCGATCGTTCTTCTTCTCTGCGTTGCAGTCCCTTCTGCCTGGGAATACAAAATGCAAACCGACTTGTGTTTGTATTTTCATCTTAGAATTTGGTTCTTTTTTTCTTCGAGATTTTTCTATTTAATTCTTAGGCTTGATTTCGGGCTTTCGATAACTGGCCAAAAGCAGATACAGTTTCTTCAGCATTTCATCCGCCTCAGCCGTGGTCATGGCAAACACTTGGATCATTCCGGACTCATAAATTCTAGCTGACACTCCGGGCATATCCTCATTCACATAGTAGACGAACCTCTTTTCACGAAGGAATGGTTCTGAAGAAAGGAAGTAGACCGCACTAAATTCCTGTAAATTAACGGCCCAGGGATAGTTGGCACTGGAAAAGAGACGTAAGTGTAAGAGCTTGTGGGATGGGTCGGCCTCGAAATTCATCTTCCCCATGGTATTCGCCACGATATCGCTTTGGATTTCGGCCAACATCGCGCTACTACTTCCGTTGATAATCATCACAGTGCCATTGCCCCATATCCAGCCTACCTGCGTGGCCTCATACCTTACTTCGATCACACCTATGTCTCTATTGTAAACGGCGTTATCCAGGGTCCTTACAGCCATATCAAGATCCAAATTTCTGTTCAATTGCAGGGTACAAAACAGTTTGCAGAAATTCATTTTAACGGGCAAGCTCAGGGACTCGCTTTGATGTTTGGTGGGATGCCTTAGGATCCTGATCTTCTGGCGGCACTGCTCCGTATGAACTGGTAAGGGTGGAAGCACCAAAGTCCTGCCCAATTGCTCCGCGGACTTGAAGCCATATCGCTGGTTCCACTTGGAGCGGAGTCGTTTGGCTTGCGGGTCCCTGTATTCCGTCATATTGTGGTCAATGATATCCTCGGAGTCCTCAAGGCGAACTGTGAAGCTATTCTGCCATCCGTTCTCTAGGGGAGACGTTCTGATGCACCTTCCTGAACTTCGGGTCATCATCTGCTCCTTGTCTATCTCGCTTTCGAAATCAATGGCTCCAGATTCCGTAGATGTTGGCTTGACACTCTCCTCATTGATTAGAAATTGCAGTTGCTGGGAAATGGTGCTACTACATTGCTGTAGCCAATCCTGAATCGCTGCCTCATCTTGGGGCTTCGGCGGGACTGATCCAATATCTTTAACGTCAAGTATAATGGGACGCTCTGGTCTAAGCGCATTCAGTTGCATTTCCTTAAGAGACTCTTCAATATATATCTCTGAAATGTCGTCTTCAGGAATATTTTCCGGCATCATTTCATCGGGCACAGTTTTTCTCAACTGCGGCTCCACAGCATCGATTTTACAAGGTATTTTTTCAAATACCATTGAAGACTTTTTTTAACATCCTCTGCCTGTGTGCTATGAAGATTTTTGGGCTTTAACAAGTCAAACAGAACTTTCCGATTTTTCTCCTGTTCTCTAGCTAAGCTCAACAGCATATCAAACTCATCAATATCGCTGTAAGGTTCGTTTAGTCCCTCTGATTTTATCCAATCGTCTAGGGCGCGATCTTCTTCCTCACCAATAGTAATTTTATCAAGGACGATTTCTCCGTCGTAAAAAATACGTCGCTTCTGGGAATTATTGACAGACTTTCCGTCTATTTCCCAGTTGATGAGTCCCTCCGCAGCATTATTTTCTTGAGGAAATATTTTCAAGGAAACTTCCTGGGAATTCAGGCATTCCAAAGCTCCTGGAGGTGGAGATTTCGACTTTTCCATACCTACCATACAACATAGAGGCCAATCAACTTCCGATGACGGCACCAAGGCATTCTTTAGGTCCCTAAAGGTCTGCCAAATATCCTCCGAGGTTGGGAGATCAGAATCATACAGATCCACTTGTTTCGGATCATTTAACGACTCTAGTGCCACTATCGGTGGCTCCTCTATGTCGACAGCAGGTTTTGACACCGACCTGCGTAGCATCGGCTCCTGGGTAACCTTGTAGTTGGTGGGTAACTCGCGGGTCTTGACTACCCCAGGTGAATTTGGTGGTGGCATTGTCTTCTCGTCGACGATAACGTGCTTGGGTTCAGATTTCCTCTGGAAGTAAAAATTTAGTTCGACACCTTGAATAAACAACTTGTCGGGCGATGTTTTAGAAAATAAAATGATCTTATTTACTACAGATTGCTTACCAGGACAAAAGACGTTATGAGGTGGTGACTGTTTGAGAAGGTTTTTTTGATTCCGGATCTTCCGTTGGCATTAAAGCCCTAAATGAAATTAAATCCATGTGTTATTAGTACGGAAAGCATTCTAGCTGCTCAGCTTTAAATGAATTGTACGGCGTCAAATTTGTCAACAACTTTGTCAGTGTGGCTGAGTTAGCAATTGTCGTTTAATAACTCCTGAAAACCGAAGTTGTCACCTTATTTCTTAAAAAGCCATGGCAATTCTGTTACATTTTAACATCTCCAGTAAGCACTCTTTACTTTGAAATCTAACCCCGGGTAAGGTTTGATATTACGGATTTGGTTGATGTATAGATATAGTTTTCATGGTGCAAATTATGCTGCCAGTGATGATCTGTTTACGAGAACTCGATGACCCAACATGAAGCAATACTAGACCAAGCGGTCCTAAACCCGTTCGGGACGCCAAAAAAGAAAAGTTGACACCGCCTAATTTCAGAGGATAATTTCTCGGAGGCTTTGCAATTGAGTTTAAAAGTTATAGCCAAAGGAACAGGCTTTTCAATGATACCTCTTTCATGGTGATGACTTTTTGTTTATATCTACTATGTTCAACCAAACTCTTCTTACTATCCGTATTCCACTCACCCCTATGTTAATGACATTTTACAAACATATTCTTCTTCTCTAACGCTCATAGTCCCCCTTAACGCAAATCTATTACGTTTTGTTAAAATTGTTAATGCCTATGATTTTTAGACCGATTTAATTTGACTTTCAACAAAACCAGATTATGAATGGTAAAAATGAAAAGTTTACCAAAGTTTGAAGCATTTGGCTTACCTATTACCTATTTTTCGGTCTCTTTCTTTTTCGAGCCAATTAACCTCGAGATCGGAAGAATGGGCTGAGGTATAAAAGCATTGGGCTTAGTCTACTGATTATCACAGTTTTCATTCTAATTCAGGCCAAGCAAGTCGAACAGTAACAAACGAAAATGGCCCATAAACTAACCATCCTCTGCTGCGCGCTTTTCGGTGTGGCTGCTGCCAGTTATATCCCCCACGGAGGACACGATCACGGACACGCAGTGGGATACAGCATCCAGACGCACCACGTGGCTCCCAAGAAGTGGCAGGATCACCACCAGGACCACCAAGCCCACTCTTGGGCGCCGGTTCAGGACCATCACCACCAGCAGTGGGCACCAGTGGCTTCCCACGACAGCCACCCCCAGTGGAGCCACCACGAGGAGCCCAAGCACCACCCCAAGTACGAATTCGACTACGGAGTGAAGGACACCAAGACCGGAGACATCAAGCAGCAGTGGGAGACCCGGGACGGGGACAAGGTCAAGGGGGGATACACCATGAAGGAGGCCGATGGACGCACCAGGATCGTGGAGTACACCGCCGATTCCCACCACGGATTCCAGGCTACCGTGAAGCATGTTGGACACGCCGACCACATCGAGCACAGCCACGGACACGGACACGGACACGGACATGGACATGGACAGGAGTACGGACACGGACATGGCCATGCCACCAGCTACGCTGAGGTGAAACAGGACACCGGCAGCAAGTGGGAGGACAAGAGCAGCAAGTGGTGGTGAAGGAGCGACCCAACTGACTGTATAACGACTCGGACTAACTAAATTATTGTAAATAGAAACAAACAAATTGCGAAATATAGTTATACGAAAATAAACTGAAGCCAAGTGCAAGTAAAATTCCAAAATTGATTCACCTTTAAGGATCTTTTCAGATGGTAACAAAACAAACTTGTTTCCATTTCGTTGCTCCGCACATTAATGAAAAACTGTGTTTAGCAATGGAATCAATACCAACAAATTGTGAATCAAGGAGATACCATATTTATTGATTTATTCGCCATTCTGAGCATTAACCGATATGGAGGAATCGGAAGCCTTCTCGGCGTCTAGCAGTCTCTTGTACCCCTGGTCACTCAACGTGGTGCGAAATATCTTCTTCATATCTTTCGTAAGGGCATTGAAGACATCAACCTGCTTGCAAAAGTCCTCCCAAAACGAGTCGTCGTGGTCCGACTCTAAATTACAAATTTTCTTAAATTTTGCGTAAAGCTCAGTTGATTTCTGGCGGATGACCATGTCGTGCTCCTGAAACTCCTCTTCTCCTCCAAATTCTCTAAGATCGCGAGTCTTTGTAACGCAGTCCGGATTGCGGAGGAGCATTAGTTTGGTCAGTTTCATTTTCTTCATCTGGTTCAGGACCCTGAGGGCCTTGACGGGATCCCAGAATTGTAAACTGTTGGCCAGCTTTGTGAAGAGATTGACGAAATTTCGCTCTGTAGTGAGGGCACCTTTGCGATTGAACAATTCCTTCTGGAACCTCTTGGCCTCGTCTGATGGAACCTGATTTGGATTCGGCTCCACGAGTATTCTGCCGGGCATGTCCTTCGGCTTCAAGCGCCCACTCTCCAGATCTAGCCTGATCTCCCTGGCCTCCTTGCGCGACTGCTGCATCCAAGATTTCTCCTCGGAGGCGCTCTTGAATTTCTTCGGCTTCTTCCACTCGATATCGATACCCAGGGTCGTGGACACCGGAACGAAAACCATCATAAGGTTTTTTTGAACTCTGTTGGGCTTGCGAGGCATTTTTGCTTCTTCAGTCAGCTAATGAAAATTCAACAAATGCAATTCAATAGCAAGTGGTTGCCACGAAACTTTTGTCAGGGCCTACTTTTCGATTAATTTTCAATAAAAATTAAGCTAAGGGTGACAAACCCACCTGTGTTTCAATATCTGAATAAATTATGACTTGTCTGCTAACACTACTCATAAATTTTTCATACAGGAGTCTTTACTCACTAGCCAACTCTAGTTGTAATCACATTTAAAAACAAGGAAGATCGCTATAGTCGAGTACCTCGACTATTAGATACCTGTTACTCAGCTGAAGGGACCAAAAGGAGATTGAGATATGCAATCAGCAAAGCGAGATTGTAATGCGCCACCTACCCGCGATCTCAATATGCGGTTATGTGGGCGGCCGACAGATTTAAGCGTTATGGGCGTTAGAGTGGGCGTGGCATTCTTTTTTGGGGTCAATCGATAGTTACTGACGAGACCAATACATTTCATTACAAATTTTTTTCTAGCATGAAAATTGTGGTCGTGACATTGGGCGGCTTGCGTACAAAACTTGCGATGCGTACAAGGCTAAGGAATCTTAATCGGAAATCCCAATTCCCTATCTTCGATAGTTTCCGAGATATCAGCGTTCAAATTTACGATTTTTAGAGGTTAGTGGGGCGTTTTTTTAGGTCGATAGATAGGTATTGACGAGAATTATACATTACAGTTAAACTTTTTTTCTAGCACTAAAACTGTAGGACCCACAGATTTACGCGGCTTGTGGGTGTCAGAGTGGGAATGGCACGTTCTCGTAATGAACTTGCGCTGCGTGCGAAAATTAGGAATCTAAATCTAAAAATCTAAGGACCCACAAACTTCTGGGTGTGGTACTCGGCTGAAGTAAAGATTTTCTTAATATACACTGGTAGAATCCTGGCGCAAACTTGCCATAACCATTTGAATAATTGCTCATAAATGAATAAACGGTCAGATTTTAACAATTTTTGGATGGGTTGATGAATGTTGATTTTTAAATTTCTCGTTAGTCTGTTTGTCAAATTTGTTTTTAAAGGAAACAGAAACTTTTTGATTTAATATTTTAACGCATTTTCTGCACTTTGCTTCTATTTATTTATCTAAAACTAAAGTTCGTAATTTGTTCGTTTCTATTTACAATAATTTAGTTAGTCCGAATCGTTGTACAGTCAGTTGGGTCTGCTCCTTCACCACCACTTGCTGCTCTTGTCCTCCCACTTGCTGCCGGTGTCCTGTTTCACCTCAGCGTAGCTGGTGGCATGGCCATGTCCGTGTCCGTACTCCTGTCCATGTCCATGTCCGTGTCCGTATCCGTGGCTGTGCTCGATGTGGTCGGCGTGTCCAACATGCTTCACGGTAGCCTGGAATCCGTGGTGGGAATCGGCAGTGTACTCCACGATCCTGGTGCGTCCATCCGCCTCCTTCATGGTGTATCCCCCTTGACCTTGTCCCCATCCCGGGTCTCCCATTGCTGCTTGATGTCTCCGGTCTTGGTGTCCTTCACTCCGTAGTCGAATTCGTACTTGGGGTGGTGCTTGGGCTCCTCGTGGTGGCTCCACTGGGAGTGGCTGTCGTGGGAAGCCACTGGTGCCCACTGCTGGTGGTGATGGTCCTGAATTGGCGCCCAAGAGTGGGCTTCGTGGTGGTCCTGCCACTTCTTGGGAGCCTCGTGGTGCGTCTGGATGCTGTATCCCACTGCGTGTCCGTGCTCGTATCCTCCGTGGGGAATATAACTGGCAGCAGCCACACCGAAAAGCGCACAGCAGAGGATGGTTAGTTTATGAGCCATTTTAGTTGGTTTCTAGTCGACTCGCTTGGCCTAAATCGCAATTGGAACTGTTATAATCAGTTGGCGAGGCCCAGTGCTTTTATACTTCTGCCCATTCTATGGATCGATTAATTACATTTTACCCTCGAGGCTAAATAGGCTAGAAAAAAGTAAGAGTCCCAAAAAATAGGTATGAAAAATGCTTCGAATTTTTGTGCAAATTTTCATTTTCCTCATTCGTATTCATAATCTCGGCCGATGGATTGGCAAATTAAATGTGGCTCGCAAATTCAAGCTTGGAAAGCACAACAACATCGATAAACGGGGCGTGAACACCGCTCAACTAGCTGAAAAACGCAACGCTCAGTGTTTTTGTTGCTTGGAAATCAATCAACAAGTGTGGCCCGCTTTCAAATTACTTAGCCATACCGCCTCGCCTCGCTGC